GTTGTCTGTTATTTATTCTTGTCCAGTGAAATGGCTAGATAAGAGAGTAATGAGATCATGATAAGCATAGACTGGCTGTCCTCATTTCACTACATTGTGTTAATCACAAGTAACATTAATACTGTACTTACCATGTGCTAAGTCTTAGTTCTCTTGTTTACACATAAAAAGATTTCCTCATAACTGCACACATTTCTTAAAACTACATTGGGATAGCTTATCTACAGAAAATATGCCTACCTATGTGAATATATATGTGCAATGAAAGCAAGAAAAACAATCATTATTACACACTTTCTGTAGGCCACTCTACTAGTGTATTAGTCTGGGTACTTTAGAGAAACAAATCCACAGAAACTCATGTATAAGAGAGATTTTTATGTAAAGATTAAGTGTGCATCAAGAAAACATCCCAACCCAGTGCTGCCCAAGCCCACAAGCCCAACGTTAACCCATATGTCCGACACCAGTCCACAAAGTCCTCCTCCATCCCACAAAATAGACTCAATGATGCTGACTGCAGGAGGAAAGCCAAGTCAGTGAATGCGTAAGCATCTCAGCACTGGCAGGGGTCTCCACACGGCTGCTCCAGCACCCAGCGTTGCATCAGGGTAGGTTCACGTGGCTTCTTCTTGGGGATGTCTTGTAGGAAGTCAGTCTTGAAAGCTGAAGCTGGGAATTGCTAAGGCAGCTGCACTCTGGCGCAACCATCACAAAGCAAGAGACCCGAGAACTTGAAAGGCGAGGCTCACCGAGCCATTTATCCCTCGGCCCTTCAATTAATCCCACGTGTTTATCAGCCAGGTTGGCACAATAAACTAACTCAACTAGGTATATATTTGTTGAGTCCTCACAACAACTTCATAATGTACATCTTTTCCTCTACATTTTACAAATAGCTTGGCATCTCTGGATGGCTAATAAATAACAGCCAGAATTTATACCCAGGCCAACAGGACTCAAAGACTTTGTCTTAGCTACAGCACTGCAATGAAAGAAATACTGTAAGTATTCCTATTTAAAGAAGAGAAATAGATTTTCTCCCATCCTGAAGATTAGAAGTCCTAAATCAGGGAGGGACTGAGGGGGTGGTGGTAATTCCCCCTTATCTATTTCAATCTCCAGAAGCTGCCAGCAATCCTTGGCATTGTGGGCTTATCGATAAATCTGTCCTCTTTGTCCGTGTTCTTTTTCCTCCTGTGTGTGTCTCTGTACCTATCTTGCTATTTTTTTATAACCCTGCAGTGACTAAGTGTGGAAATTGCCCTACTCAAACCAATCCATCAATTCCAACTCATAGCCACCCTATAGAGGGTTTCCAAGGCTGTACATCTTTATGGGAGCAGACAGTCTCAGCTTTCTCCCTTTGAGTGGCTGGTGGGTTTGAACTGCCAACCTTGTGGTTAGTAGTCTGATACGTACCCTACAGCACCACTAGGGCTTCTAATGACTTGAGTAGTTGTTATTGTTGTTAAGTTCCACTGGTTCATTTATGACACATAGCAACCCTACGTAAAACAGAACGAAACACTGCACAGTCCTGCAAGATCCTGACAACTGTTATGTTCGAGCCCACTGCTGCAGCCACCTCGCCAATCCATCTCATTAACAGTCTTCCGCTGCGTTCCTCGCCTTCTACTTTACCAAGCATAACTGGCCACTCCTAATAACATGTTCAAAGTACGTGAGAAGTCTTGTCATCCTCACTTCTAAGGTAAGGTGACCAGACATCCCGCTTTTGGCAGGACAGTCCCGATTTTTAACAATTTTCCCACGTTCCGCACATTTTTAAAAAGCCCCGATTTTTGGAAAGAATGAACAACAAGCGAGGGTATACGGTTTTCGGCTGCCATGTGGCTATTTCACCAGGATATGAGTTTTATCAATGGTGTCCCGCTTTACCAATGTTAAACTCTGGTCACCTTATTCTAAGGAGAAGGCTGTACTCTTAACATTTTCTGATCCTGACTTGTGTTAACCCGTTAACTTCCCAATAAATCCCCGTAATCATGAGTATGGTGTGTGAGTTCCATGTGACCACTGAAGTGGATGACTGAAGCCAGCAGAGACATGGAATGTTTTGGGAGGGATGACTGGTGTCAGAACACAGTAAAGAAGGTTCGAGGGTGGAGGCATGCCTGGCCTCTGTCTCATTGGAGTGGGCAGGGCAGAAGTGGCGTCAGATTCTCCTTCCCACTTGGGTAGGTTAGCCATGGCCCCAACATCATTTCTTCAAAGCTGAATCAGAGACTCACTAGTCATTCAAGAGATGCAAATCACCTTACCTGGTATTGATAACAAAGGTCGCCGAAACAGAAAATAACAAAAGCTGGAGAGGGTGTGGGGAGACTGGAACCCTTACACACTGCTGTAAAGCCGTAGAACTACAGTGGAAAACGGAACTGGGAATAGCAATACCATACAATCCAGAAACCCCTTTACTTGATCTAGGCCCTAAAGAAAGAAGGAGCACAGCTCGAGTAGATCTGTGGTCACGAATGCTCATCACAGCACAGCACGACGCGCAACAGCGAGAAGATGCAAGCCACCTGAATGCCCATCAGTGGAAGAAGGGATACATCAACTCGGCTGCATACACAATAGCGAATGTGTGCGACATCTCGTGGCAGGGATAGGATTTAGAGGACATTATGCTGAGTGAAGCGAGTCAATTTTAAAATGATAAATATTTCATGAGACCACTGTTATAAAATAAATAAATGAAAATAAGGGCTCTCGTACCAAAGGAGTGAGCCAGAGGTGGGAGGGGAAGGTAGAGAAGGGAAAGTAACCCTCAAAGGTTTTCCTCCCTCTTCCCTCTTACTCCCCTTCTCCTCCGCCTGCTCCTGTCTCCCCTCCTCGTCATCATCTCCACGCTCTGGTAGGAGGGATGCCTGGGCCCATCAGACTCGGAGTCCTATTTTAGGATTTCCTGGGACCCTCTCCGCTCCAAGGCCACCATGAAGGAGAGGCAAAGGCTCGGCATCCGTGTGTTAATGGCGGTGATCCACGGGGAGTGGGCGCTAGGTGGCTTTCATGTTCTTCCTTTTTTGCTTATTTACATTTCTTCAGTTTCTACCCAATGTAAGCATTACAGAAGCAACTAACAAAAACCTAAGGTGACAAGTAAGAGGGGCCACAGACTTCGATGCAAACCCTAACACTATAAAACTCATCAGGAACAAAGGGGGTATAAGCGTAAGGGCTCTAATGCATGACGTGAAGAGAGCATCAAACATAACCAAAATTGCACAAGCAGCAGAGAAGAAGCAAGACAAGTGGGACCTTCTAAAATGTAAATACCCAAGTGCATCAGAAAGATTTCCCCCAGAGAATAAAGAGAACCTACTGACTGGAAATAAGCACCTGGCAATGACATACCTGCCACAGGGTCGCAGCAACACCCCCACCTCACAGAGAACCCTGAGACCCAAGACACACAATTAGCCACTGCAATCCCCTCAATGAACCCCAGGGACCTCAGGTCAGCAACTGTGACTTCTGTTAAAATCAAGGCAGTTATTCTTGCACGAATAACAGTAACAAACAATAAGCAAGGGCACAACCAACAAAACTGGCACAATCTGAACAGGGTAATGTAAAATTAACCAGCAGAATCAATGGTTTAGCAGGTAAAAAGAAGTTTACTGTGTTTTAGAGAAAAGCTAGAAAATTCAAATATTTTTAGTTCTCTTCATTTTAATCTCAGCCTTTTAAAATGTTGTGCTCATATTGACGCATATCTCAGGTCCCGAGTATTGCTTTATTACATTTATTGGAGATAATGCCGGTGTTCTGCACTCAATAAATATCTTTTGAGTGCTTATTGCAAGCCAGGCATTGTTCTAGGCACGCTCTTCAAAAATACTGTGTCTTCATAGAGCTTAAGTTCTACAGGAGATACACAAGGAAGATAAATAAAATGTAGTACGTGTGTCCATTATTAAGAGTTGTGGTTTTGTGGTGTTTTTGGTTTTTTTGTTTTTTTTTAAAGCAAGAAAGGTGAAAAGTGGGTTGGCAAAATGGAGCAAAAGAGAGAGAAAGACAGACAGAGAGAGAGAGAGAGAGAGAGAGAGAGAGAGAGGCAGAATGTTTTCAATATCATGGTCAGAACCAGCTGTACCAAGAAGCTGACACTTGTATTATGAGCTGAGGAACCAAGGCACGGCCATGCCCAGTTTGCTTTAATGCGTCATTTTAAGGCTGCATGGATGGACAAAGAGGGTCTCAGGATACTGGTTTTCCTTACAGTGAGTCTTATCCAGTGTCATCAAATCAAAAAAGGGAAGAAAAAACAGGCATCCCAATCACTGGTCACCTTCTTAATCTCTCTCACTGTTGTTGTAGCTTGTCTTCTGAGCAAAAAAAAAAAAGTTTAAATGTTTGTTTTATTTCTCTATGTTACAAAGACTTCTTTTTGAACTTTCCAAACACATATATCAACGATAGAAATTGTTTTCCTTCTTAAACGAGCCCGTATTTCATCAAGGACTAAAATTTTAAAACATAAAATGACTGCTGAAACTGAATTTTAATCATATAGATGAATCGCAACATACGACTTTAGCTAGGCATGTATTATGGATGTCTACTTTTCTACAGAGAATAATCACATGTTCTAATTACCATTTCGGTTATACGCATAATTAATAATATTCTGCCTTAATGGGACATGCTGAATCTTCAGACACTTGCAAAGCGTTAGCTATGCATGCTGCCAAATCCCACTGTCAGCTGCACTGCCAGACACAAAGGGATTGTGGTGTCCACCCAGAACAGTGCGCAGATCTTTACACATGATACAACTGAGAAGTCCATTGCTTTTCTTCTTTTGAAAATGCCTCCACACCAGAGAAGTTACGTTACTTGATCAATCACTGACCCCAAATTACAAGTATATCGATCTGTGTTGGCCAGTGATCTCACCAACAACAAACACGTAGATGTAAATGTGATCCCACACCCAAAGAAGGGAGAACCAGTGGAGGGCGAGCACTTACTGATTGTAAGCTCTCGTTTTCTCGTAAACACGCCGTGTGAAGCTCCGTTTTCAAGGTTGCAATGTGGTTCCGATGCGATGTTATCTCCTTCTCCAATGCAGCAATTCTAGAGCTTGCAAGCTGGTACACATCCATGAAACTTTTAATCATCGCCTGGAGAAATAAAAATAATGTCACAGGCAATTCAAGTAAAGCGGTCCCCAAAGGACAACTTCCATAATTTGAAAGCAAAATCATTAAAATTTTAAAATAAACAACTTTTCATCTTTCATTACAATAATAAAGCCCAACCCTGAATTTTATATTAAGAACAGTGACTATTTTAAGAAATTTTCACTGGTGGTGGGGGGGGGCAGGAATAATTAAGACTTCTGTTTTCAAAGTATTTATTTAAATACGATATACTTTGATCTATTGTGCTTAAAACTTAGAATGCAGTTTTTAAAGATGGCACACTTATTTTCTTTACTAAAGTTAAATTCAAGTTACAATCTGAGCTAAATTTCAATCTTAGGACACACCGTAGATGGATAAACAGGATATTTCAAAAATGAGCTGAGCTCGTAAAATTTTCAACCCACCTAGAAAGCAGGTGTTTTAAAATCAAAGGAGCTGAAGCCATCTTGTCACTTTTTTAGAGTAGACACTGTATTGAAACAACACCATCATTAGCACTGTGTTCACTCACATGTCAGAGGCGGCGCTCACATTATGCTACTTATAATAGGTAGCAAAAAACCACTGTGCCTAACTTTCTTATCTGCCCTAAGGACTAGAGGTCCTTATTTTTGTTTATGGGCTCTCCCTTCTAAAGCAACCTGGGGTGAACTTGAGGTTCAGAGAGTACTACTATGGATTTTGATCTGATATGGATTCTATACTTCAAATACATCAAAATAAAATAAATGTTATATTTACAACAAGAAAAATAAGTTCTAACCACAGCCACAACTACAAGAAATAAATGGCATTCGATCTGAAGGGGCTGATTAAGCAAACAGAAGTCTCAATTATTCCTGCCCCCACCCCCACCAAGCTTTCTTAAAATAGTCACTCTTCTCAAGTTCAAGTTCGAGGTTGGGCTTTATTATTGTAAAGAAAGATGAGAAGTTGTTTATTTTAAAATGTTAAAGCTTTCCTTAAATTTTAAAGAAACTAGATATTGGAGCAATTCTGAATCATGTGAAGTAATCATTTATGAACAAAGAATAAGAAACAGTACACACAATGCCTGAGAAACGGAAGCAGACTCATCATTCATAGGTAAGAGTAAGAAAGTTCATGCTTGTGGGTCTAATAAATTACTGTTTGCCCTTGAAAATCCAGTTCAATTACCACCTTCTCCCAAGAAAACTCCTTGATGCCCCAAAGCAGAGTTAACTACTACCCTGGTTGTCTGTGGGCCCCTCAGGCCTTTTCCTCCTACTGCATTGACTGACGTGCCAGATATTCACTAGTTCATCTGCTTAGCTTCGTGACTAGACCTGGAAGCCCGAGGATGAGGGCTGTGCTGAGTGCCGCCCTGTGTCTTTGGGGATGACAGGGGCCCATAGTGAGTGCTTGCTTGAATGACTGAGCTGCACTGCATTAGACTTGTTTGAATAAACTGATGACTGATTGAATGCATGCGTGGATTGATAGATGAATGAAAGCAAAAGTGTACAAGAACAAACACTGCAAGTTGAAGTCATCGATTGCTCTATCATACTGCATAGAAAAGGAAGACGATAGCAGGGAAAAGGTAACCGTTACACTCAATCTAATGAACTAATTACCAACATCCTGCATTCAAGTTGAAAAAGAATCAGAAACATAGTTGTAAGCATTCAAATAACAAAGTAGAAAAAGTAGACGCTCATATGCCACACTTAGCAAACACAGTCCTAAAACACCTCACGTCCAGTCACTTGGAGGTAAATTTATAAGTAACGTTGTAAGAGGTGCCCTGATGACGTCATGGGCATGTGTTGAGCTGCTAACTGCAAAGATGAGCTGTTTGAAACCACCAGCCACTCGGAGGGAGAATGATGAGGCTTTCTACTCCCATAAAGAGTTTCATTTTTGCTAAGCATGATAGTGGAACAAGAGGAAAGTAAAAGGGAATAGAGGAAAGAACTAGGAGGCAAAGGGCATTTATAGAGGTCTAGATAAAGGCATGTACATATGTAAATATATTTATATATGAGGATAGGGAAATAGATCTATGTGCATATATTTATAGATATTAAGGTAGCAGATGGACATTGGGGCTCCACTCAAGTACTCCTTCAATGCAAGAATACTTTGTTCTATTAGCCTGGCATTCCATGATGCTCACCTTCCCGATGTGACTGCTGAAGACAAATGGGTGCATAAGCAAATGTGATGAAGAAAGCTGATGGTGCCTGGCTATCAAAAGATATAGAGTCTGGGGTCTTAAAGGCTTGAAGGTAAACAAGTGGCCATCTAGCTCAGAAGCAGCAAA